ATATATCTATCATCATTATCATCATCTTCAAGATCTAAAATTTCACCAACCAACAATATTCCTTGTTTATTTATTTGCAGAGCTTCCGATTGAGTCTTAATCTGCACAAATCCTTCTACCTTAGTTGAACCGTCTTCATTTATCTGAGGTATTGGTCATAATTCATCATTACGTCGTTCTCCCAATCAAGCAATAACTTCAAAAGGATTTTCTTGTCTTGCTAAATTCATTAATTCCTTTAAAGCTTGTTCAGGGGTATTATTTTCATAACTAACGGTGGCTTGTTCACCATAAGGCAACAAACCTAAAATGGAATACAAACCATCTAAAGCCACGGTTTGTTGGCGATGTTTAACCGCATCTAAGGCTTGACTTAAACTTAACTGGACTACTTGGTCTTTAGTTGCTCCATAACTTCACCCCAGGGGAGTACTAAAAATAGTAGTTTGATTTAAAGCATCGCTATCTTGAATTCCGGCTCATATTTTAACTAAAATTCTTCCATCTACTAAACCATCATCAAACATAAACAGAGTTTGTTTAGATAATAATCCTTCTTGAAAGCATCAAGAGCGAGTAAATCAAGGTGAAGTTACTATTTGCTCAATAATATGTTTAGCTCATTCTAACTCACTCTTTTCTCCTTTTACTCCAATCTTACCATCAATGGCAATTAAAGTAGCCATAGCCTGGTTATAATAATCTTTTTGCTTAGCAACTTCTCGACCTTTTTCGGTTTGACCATTTTCATCTTTTTTACTATTTTTTTGGTCTATACAGAAGTTATCTATTCAAATGTAATTCAGGGGGATGGTTGAACCTTGCTTAATTAATTCTCAGGTAGCAATAGCCTTGTTTAAAGCTTTACGACCTAATTTAGTTAAGTCGGTTTGATAAACTTGTCCATAAGTTTGGGGTTGCTTTTCTCAATCGGTTCCTCAGACATAAGAAAGAGCAAAGTAGTTAGGAATTTTTTTTCTATTTTTAGTAGTTATTACTTGCCCAGTAGAAAAATTATAAAGACGAAGGGGTAAACTAGTTGCTTTTTCTTTATTTTCTTTTTCTCAAGCCCAAGGGTGGTTATCGTGTAGGGCAAATTCAGGATAACTAAAGTTAGTAGGAGTTTCTTGGTTAGTTATTGGTTTTGCTTTTTTAATCTCTTCTAATAAATGTCAAGGAGTAGCAGTTATTGCTAGCGGAGAAGTGTTTTCTTCAGTAAGATGTAAATCGGCTAAAGATAAATTATCATCCATTAACTCTGGATGAGCTTGTTGTCAAGCTCTTAGATTTTTTCCATAACTAGCTAACTCATCTCATATTTCTCCTTCGCACTCAAATTCTTTTAAACTTAAAGGCAAATATTCTAAACCAGTAGTGATATTATTTTCAGTAATATAAAGTATCCCTAATTTAGTTAAATTCTGAACAAAAGTTAAATTAGTCATTTTATTATAACCACAATTAAGTTCAGTTAAATTTGAGCAATTACTAATACCTAACTTAGTTAAGTTGTTCTTTTGGCAATCAAGTTCAGTTAAATTTGAACAAGAACTTAAATCCAACTCAGTTAGTTGATTTTTATAGCAGTTAAGTTTAGTTAAACTTGGATAATTGCTTAAATCCAACTCAGTTAGTTGATTATTGTAGCAATGAAGTTCAGTTAAAGATGGACAATTGCTTAAATTTAAATTAACTAATTTATTATTAAAGCAATTAAGTATAATTAAATTTGAATAATTAGTTAAGACTAATTCATCTAGATGATTATAAGAACAATGAAGTTCAGTTAAAGATGGACAATTTTTAATAATTAGTTCTTGATTATCTGCTCAATCAGTAATGTCTATTTCTACTAATTGCGGACAATTGCTGATAGTTAATTTGGTAACATTATTAACCTTTCCATCTCCGGTTGTTATAATTCTTTCCAAGTTAGGATAATTAGCAACAGTTAGTTCTCCTGTGTGGTCAAATTTTAATTTATCCCTATCAAACTCTATTTCAGTGGTATTTTCTTGATCAGAATAAGTATTTTCTAGTCAGGTTTGAGGATTTTCAAACTTTTGCTTTCAAGTTGAATAACACTCTTCTGAGCAAAAATCTAAATCTTTTTCAGCATCATTAAATCAGGCTAGTTTTCTTTCTCCTATCTCTTTATCACATTGATCGCAAAAGTATATAATTTCATCTTCTGATGATGATCCTTCTGAACTTTCTTCTTCCTCTTCGGCTAATTCCAAACTGTTTTCTGATTCTGAATTATTACTGTTTTCTTTTTCTATATCTGCTGTATTTACCATATTTTTTTACTATATAAAGAACTAATTTCTTAAAATATAGAAAGATAGAGTTAATTTCTTCTATTCTATAAACTATTTTTACCCTTTTTATACTAATAATAATGCTTTTTCATGGTATTTTAACATTTATCCTTAAAAGCCAAAAGAACTACATTTAGTAACTACGTTTCTTATTTCTGCTAAACAATAAAGTTAGAATAATCACCCCTAAAACTAAAACACTGCCGCCAATTATTCAAGGCAGATAATTAACCGGTTTTTCTTCACTATTATTTTCTAATTCTCTTAATTTTTTTCTTAAACTCTCTAATTCTGCTTCTTCTTCCGGAGTGCGATTAGGTTTTTTCTCTAATCTCTTAATTTTCTTTGTTCTTTTCTTTTTCAGGCTTATTTTTATTATGATAATGGTAAATAATAGCAATTATCGCGATTATAAATAGTCCACCAAAAAAGAGAGTTTCTTTGTCTAGCAACGGATTTTTGCTCTCTCTCTCTCTCTCTCTCTTCTTGTCTAGTTCTCCCAACTGTTCTTTGCAAATATTAATAACCCGATCGAGATTTTTAACACCTTCTACTAAATCCAAAATGCCTTCAAAGTGATATTCTTTTAATCCTTCTGCATATTCAATCGTTTTTTTCAAAGAAATCTCATCATTACTTTTTTTGACTTCGTTATAAGAATCCAAAATAGCAGTGGCTTTTCTATGTTCTTCATTATAACATTCTATACAGTAGTTTGGTGCTAAACTTGAGAAAATTATTGTTGGTTCAGATCTTGAACATTTTTTGCAAGTTTTCATTGATATTAGAAAGTTTTAGCAAAAAAAAAAAAAAAAAAAACGCAAAATAAGTCTAATAACTGCTATTTTTATTTGTCGTCTTTCAAAAGTTTATAGGCTATATAACAACTTCCTAAGATTACAGCATTTTCAAAGGTAACTAAATCTGAAATTCAATTTTTGTCATCGGGATTTAAACCGGCTTTATTAATGGTTTCGTTATTTTTTTCTCGTTGCTTTTGATTTCTTGCTTTTTCTTCATTCAGTTTTTTATTATTTTTTCTTTCTTCATCTAATTGAGTTTGAATAAAGGCTAATTGATTTTTTAACTCTTGCTCTTTTTCTTTTGAAATATTTGGATCATTCAATTCTTTTTTAATATCACTTATTTGCTTTTCAAAATTTTTTTCTTTGCTTTTGGATGATTCCAATAATTCATCTATTTTTTTATCACGTTCATCTAATCTTTTATTTTCTGTCCTTGCCGCTTCTAAGGATTTAGATTTTAAGTCGTATTTTTCTCGCTTAGTTTTTTGGTTTGTTTCATAGGCATCAGTCGCTTTTTTAATTCCATAAATGATACCACTTCCGATTGTTAATATTAAAAATATTGCCATAATTATTTGTTATTTATATTTGAGTCTTGTGGGCTAATTTGATTACTTTTCATATTTGTTTCAATGGTGTTTAATTCTTTTATCAAGGTTAAAAGAGCATTTTCTTTTATTGCTGTTTCTTGTTTATAATTGTTGATTAATTGCTGAATTTCTTCAATTTTCTTTTTTATTTTTGTAATTAATTGTTGTTGTGTCATATTTTTATCTTCTCATTTCTGATAGTAGAGACGCGATGCGTTCCACAGCCTTATTGAAATTCTCATGAAAAGCATTATTGCTTGCTTTCATTTCACTTAATACTTCATCACTAGTTTTCTCTATTTCTTTTAAACGGATATCAAGAGTCTGTTGAATATTAGTTCCGATCTCTTTCGCCACTTTTTCGATTTTTGGTTCTCGAGGACTAGTAAATTTAAAATCAAACTTCTCATCTCACAACTCTCCGCTATCAAATTTTTGCCAAAAGAATTCTAGAAATTCTCCCAATGGAATTCCTTTTTGTTGAATTATTTCCTTAGGTTTTTTAGTTTTTTCATCGATGATTTCTTTACCATCTTTACCAGTTGCTTTCTCTTTAATTTCTTCTAAGATTTCTTTGTTATCAGAATTGGCTATAAACTTATCTCAAAAAGGAATACCATTCTCAATCTTTTTACCGCTAATAGTTTTTCCTAAAAAGTTTTCTTCGAAATGAATAATGTTAAACCTATTTACTCATTTATTGTCTTCTTTACCTAAAGAATTAGTATTTTGCCAGTGTTGAGGAAAATCATAATAAATACCGGCATCTTCTGCATATTCTTTTAATTTTCCTAAGGTTCAACTGAAATTTAATTGATTAGCTAATCGGCCGGGTTGATAAACTGCTTCATCAATTTCGCTTAAATAGTTAGTCGCAATAATCCATAAATTATGGCTTTCATTATTTTTGTAATCATCGCTACCGGTACATTCTTTAAGAAAAGTTAAACCCGATGATTTTTTGACAAAAGTGTTTTCACTAACTTGATTGGCTTCATCAATAAAGAAAATGTATTGCGGTTCGCCACTTTCCGGATTTCTTTCTAAACCAAACTCATCCACTAGACTATTATTTATATCACAAACAGTATAAATAAACTTTTTGAAGTTATCAATGGTACATTTTTGATCGTTAAGATTAGGGGTTAAACTAGAACCTTGAATAACTACTAGCGGATAAATATCCGCTTGATAAGTTAACTTTTCAACAATAATTGATTTTCCTGTTCGAGGAGCACCGTATAAAGTAGCATTATTATCAATCTTGCTTTTATCTCTTTCCCCTCTAACCGGATCAACTAATACTTTATCATATCAATTATCGATTTTGGGATTAAAAGTATAACTTTCGACTTCTTCCCTTAATTTTAATTCTTCAACTTTTTTATTACTTTTTTGCTCTTCGGTTAAATCATTTCACAGCGAAGGAGGAAATTTAATTTTATAAGAAGCACCAAAAATACATTTGCTTGGTTCTCTTTCACTTTCATTATTAGGATTAACAATAGTGCAGTATTGATTTCAGGCATTAGTAAAATCCTGCTCTAATTCAATTATTTTCTTATCCGCTCAATTATTAGATACCCTTAGTCAGTGTAAACCTTGTCTCCTGTGTTTCTGCTCGGTGATAAAACTAATTGCTTCTTGCTCAATAACAAAAATGTCTTCATTAGGGGCTTGTTTAATTCTTTTACAAAATTTTTTGAGATCTTTTTCTAATAAAGAATTAAATTTAATTTCTCTTTGAGCAAAATTTTCAATATTATTAATAACTTCTTTTCTTAGTTCTTCAATGGACTTTCCTTGGCTCACAGTGGCTTTTTGCTTAATTTCCTTTTTCATTTCCTTAGCAAATAGATTGATTTGAGAAGAAGAATAACATTTATCTAAATAACTTTCTCAATTATCAACTCCTTTTCACAAATTAGAATTTAGTTCATTAAAACTAACATTTGGATTATTCTGTAACTCGGTTTTTATTTCTTGAATTGCTTTGCTTCTCTTTTTTGGTAAATAAAGAAAAAAATAATAACTTGCTCCGGCTAATAGTGCAATAGTTAGTAATTGTCTATTCTGCTTTTTCATTTTGGTAATAAAGGTAGGCAATGAGTAATAAACCACTAGTAATTAGTAATAATTCTTGGTTTTCTGATCATCAATTAGTTGGTTGATGGTCATCTTGATTGTTGTTATTAGGAACATTTCTTGCTTCTTCTGAAGAAATATCATCTTCTGAATCAGAGTTATTAGGATCAGTTGGGTTTTTAGATGCTTTCGGATTACGAGAAGTTGAATTATTATCTTTTCTCTCGATCGCTTCTTTAATTTTGCTTAGTAAATCTGAAACATGTTTACTAGGATCATATTTAAATTTCTCGTCAATATTTTTTTGTTTTTCTAAATTGACTGTTAACTTTTTACCATCTTCCTCAATCAATTGTAAAAGAAGCACTTTTTCAGCTGGGTCAATGTTTTTATCCATAGCCTTCTTTCTATTCTGCTCAATACTTTTTTCAATTTGTTTCTGCTCCAGTTTTAACAACTTTATTTCTTGAACTCATTTATAAGTTTCTCGTTGCAAATTTTCTTTCAGTTTAATTAAACCCTCTCGACAAACGTTTAATTTTGAAATAACATTTTTATTGGTTGCTTGATCAGCCCAAATGATACAAACACCAAACATGGAACTAGAAGAACTAGTTTGAGTTTGTAAACCGTTAATTGATTCTTCGCATTTTCTGATATAGTTAGCCTTTTTCGCTTCATATTCTTGGCTACTAGTGCATTTTTGCAGATCTTTTTTAATCTCGGTTAAACTTTCTATTTGATTAAAAGACTTAGCGATGGTTTCACAATCCTCTTTTAAGTTGTGCGAGGCTCCTCAATTACATTTTCCTCCATCTCAGTAACCAGCATCATCCTCGTATTCTTTCTTTCCTTTACGAAGTTTTGCTACTTGCTTGAATTGTCTTTCTAATTCTTCTGCACTATATCGTGTCATATTTTTAAATCTTTAAAATTCGGTCAATTTAGTAATTAATTGCTTACAGTTTTCCGTGATTGCTTGGTTTTTTTGTTTTCAAAAAAAAATAGTTCTTTTAAGGTTAAATAATAAGTAGAATATCTATTATTAAGTGTAATTCTAACAAGGTAAAAATAGTTTCTTTAAAGTCTAACATTGATAAAAATAGTGGTGGCTTAAAATCTTTACTTTTTGCTATAGTTAGTTCTTCTTTAGTCTAATTAAATCTAAAGCAGTGAAAGCAAATTGTTGAGCCAAAAACAATCAATCACCTATCGCATCATTAGTTGGTTTAAAACTAGTTTGAAGAAACTCATCTATTTTCTTTTCTCAGTCATCTAATTCATGATCTTTAATGGACTCAGCAGTAAAATCCGCTAGCGGGCATTTGTTGACTAAATAGTGTAAGGTTTGCTCATCATTTTTGGACAGTTTTGCAAGATTATATTCTTGAAGAAATTCTATCATGCTTTTACTTTCATGAGAAGTATGACGACTTCGCGGACCACTTCAAGGTTGATAAACTACCATTTGTCTTTGGATGAGTTTAGCTTTTAGATTAGCCCAGACTTCCATTATCTCTGCATTTTTTTTTTTTTTTGTGGATTAGTCATATTCTACTTCTTCAATGGTTGGTTTATTAGGATCATAATCTTCATAGAT